GCCATCTAAAGGATAGCACTGCTCCCATATCTGACTGGTTTTAAGTCTGTCTAGACAATATTCCACAATACTGGAAGTATTTTCCATTGTGAGGACACATTACAACACATTGAAATTACATAAATACACATTTACTTATTCACAGATATTCACACATATATTATTGATTGAAAACCATTGCTTTCTTAGTACATAACGTATTGCAGTTTGTTTTGAATGAGAATATCTCATTCTTTTGGTATGTCAAGCAGTCGGCAATAGAATCTTACAGCTCATTCATCATAACAAAAAACAACCCATTATTATCTATCGCAGAATTTTCTTGCACTTAAAATATATCCTTTGTCTTTAAATTATCCATGGGGAGGGTCGTGAAAGTCCTCTTATGGTTTATGTACATTAACACCTATGGCAATGGAGATGTGTCATTAACATTTCTTACACATTATATGGACAATAGCAATCTTAAGTATTCAAATGTACTCTCTGGACAAATATGTCCTGTCAGCCTGGTGTTGGATGCATGGTCATTGATAAGTGTTAGTTGGACATACATCTTGATTGTATATGTAGGTTAGGTGGCAAATGTGTACTTAACATGTTTTAGAGTACAATAAATCTCCTAAGCTTTTGTCCAAGCATCATATACCACTTTACTGAATATCCATGAAATATAGAGAAGTATATATTGTTTCAATGTCACACTGCTGTAATACAACCGACACCATCTTCCCAAATTTTCTGATGGAATGATGTCTTAAGTTTTGCTCTTATGTAAAACTAAGCTTTAGAGATATATTTTTTTAATGTAAACAGAGGTTGATATAAAAAGTGACACAATTTTCAGTGTTTTTAGCTCACCTGGCCCGAAGGGCCATGTGAGCTTATCCCATGGTGCAGCATCCGTCGTCCGGCGTCCGGCATCCGGCGTCCGTCAACTTTTTCCTTTAAAATGCTACTTGTCCTGAATGGCTCAGAGGATTTTGACCAAATTTGGTCAGGAGCATCATTGGCCAAAGGGTTCTCAGTTTTGTATAAACGGAGGGTATAACCCCCCTGGGGGCAGAGGGGCGGGGCCAAATAGGGGGAAAATAGGTAAATCTTTAAAAATCTTCTTCTTCTCAACCAATAGAAGGATTTTGACCAAATTTGTCCTAGAGCATCTTTGGACAAAGGAGACTCAAGTTTGTATAAACGGAGGGTGTGGCCTCTTTGGGGGCAGAGGGGCGGGGCCAAATAGGGGAAGTAGAGGATTTTTTCTCTCCTACTATACAAGTGAAGGGATTTAAACCAAATGCAGTCTGAAGCTTGGTCAGGAGCATCATTGGCCAAAGGGTTCTCAGTTTTGTATAAACGGACGGTATAGCCCCCCCTCGGGGCAGAGGGGCGGGGCTAAATAAGGGGAAAAAAGGTAAATCTTTAAAAATGTTCTTCTTCTCAACCAATTGAAGGATTTTGACCAAATTTGTCCTAGAGCATCTTTGGACAAAGAAGACTCAAGTTTGTATAAACGGAGGGTGTGGCCCCTCTGGGGGCGGAGGGGCGGGGCCCAATAGGGGAAATAGAGGATTTTTTTTCTCCTGCTATACAAGTGAAGGGATTTTAACCAAATGCAGTCTGAAGCATGATTAGGGACAAAAGAATCAATTTTGTATAAACTGAGGTGTGTGGGCCTCCTTCTAAGGGCAGATGGGTGGGGCCCATTAGGGGAAATAGAGGAAAACATCAAATATCCTTCTCCTTTTGTACCGATGAAGGGATTTTGACCAAATTTGGTCTGGAGCATCATTGGCCAAAGGGTTCTCAGTTTTGTATGAACGGAGGGTATGGTCCCCCTGGGGGCAGAGGGACGGGGCCAAATAGGGGAAAATAGGTAAATCTTTAAAAATCTTCTCCTCAACCAATTGAAGGATTTTGACCAAATTTGTCCTAGAGCATCTTTGGACAAAGGAGACTCAAGTTTGTATAAACGGAGGGTGTGGGCCTTCTGGCGGCATAGGAGCGGGGCCCAATAGGGGAAATAGAGGATTTTTTTTCTCCTACTATACAAGTGAAGGGATTTAAACCAAATGCAGTCTGAAGCATGCTTAGGGAGAAAAGAATCAATTTTGTTTAAACTGAGGTGTGTGGATTCCCCTTCTTTGGGGCAGATTAGTGGGGCCCATTAGGGGAAATAGAGGAAAACATTAAAGATCCTTCTCCTTCTGTACCGTTGAAGGGATTTTAACCTAACCAAACTTGTTTTAGAGAATCTTTGGGCAAAGGGAATTGAATATTTATAAATGGAAGATGCAACTTTGTTACTTGTACTCCTTTGATAAACCTGAATGGTACTCAGCAGGTTTTAAATTGAAAAATAAAATACCAGGTGAGCTATTAAGGCCCCTGGGCCTCTTGTTCTTTGGTTAGTCTCATTATAACAGCATGACATCAAAAGTGCTCACAGCTGGCATTATGATCAGGTGTTCCACATTTTCATTTACCGGTAGAAAGAGTTTTGAGATTTAGAATGAAAACGATATTAATTGGGGCAATAGTGTTTGAGGGGTTGGTTTACTTGATTGATTGATGTGGACATATCTAGGTCTAATTCAACTTCAATTTAATTAAACATAAAGGACCTGGACCAGATGACCTGTTTGAATTAGGAGGAATATTTGACTCATCCAAGCTCCTACTGATGATAGATTGTGTTAATAAAGTATGTTTTGTGTTAGTTGGTCAATGAGAATACTTCACATTTATACTGGGTACAAGTATGTATGACTTCACTATTCATCTTGTTAGGGTACAAGTATACATGTATGACTTCACTATTCATCTTGTTAGGGTACAAGTATGTATGACTTCACTATTCATCTTGTTAGGGTTCAAGTATGTATGACTTCATTATTCATCTTGTTAGGGTACAAGCATGTATGACTTCACTATTCATCTTGTTAGGGTTCAAGTATGTATGACTTCACTATTCATCTTGTTAGGGTACAAGTATGTATGACTTCACTATTCATCTTGTTGAAGAGTAACGGTTATTATGTAAGAAAGCTTAGTTTGTGTTTGAAGTAGACGACGGAAACATTTTGGCAAGCTTGGCATGGGTAATTATGTAGTAAGGACTTAGGTTTAAGCGTGATGAGGAGGTTCAGCTGTTCACACTAGTGTATTTATGTATGTAAAACACCTCGGGAGACGCATCATAAGGGAGGGGAAAATGTAGGCAAAGACGGATGGCAAAGGACTTGAAATTTCCTGGAATTGAAGCTTTAAGACAGAAAATCTGTGAAATCCATCTACATTACACCCCTGGGAGACAGTGTAGTCCAGGGCTCACATCCCTATTATTGATCAGCCCGCAATACAACTGGAATGCATGCTTGATTTTAACAGATGTCAATTGATATAGATTGCTATGGGTTCCTTCTACTTCAAGTAAACCTGTTACATCAGGGATTTCTATCCCAGGCAAGAAAACTTTGAACCAATTCTTTTTTTCCAGCCCGTCATTTAGTTAAAATATTACATGTTCATCGAATCTAGCTAATTGAAATTCAGCAAACATGTAATTAAAGTTTTGTCTTGAATTAGTTTTTAGATGTACAAGGCTGATCTTTAATTTGACGAAGAACTACCTTTTTTATCATTTTCGTTGGAATGTTGTGTGCGTTAGTTATCGATGTATACACCATATTGTGTTAGCTGAGTGAAGATAGATTGATCACACATATCATTGATAACAATGTCTAAAACTCAAAGTTAGATCTGATCAATTATTATGGAACTTTTTCTTTACATAAGAATATCATTCATGGGAATGATGGAAGGTGTATCACTTTCAGTTGTTTGGACTTCTGACAATTCATGTTATAAACTGATAGATTGTCCTCTTGAAGCTATATATAATACTTGGTACTTACACGTATATGTAGTTTTATTCAGACACTTTCAATTCATATGAGGATATTATAAAAAGGTATAAAATACCATACTATAAAGTAAATTAATAGATAAAAACATACAACATTCATCACTTTCAAAAATACAGGTATTGCACAAAGTGTCTTGAGATAATTATGCTATGATGTACGATATGTTGATCCATTGTTTCAACTTTATTGTAAAGAAAGAATAAGCTAGGGTCATGCTATTTTGTATGTAGTGTACAGGGGTAAAAGGCTATTACATTGTTCAAATAGATTACCTTGACCCATTTTCAAGGTCACAGTGTTGAAAACTCCCTCAAGAACCTCAATGCCTAGAATTAGATGAACCACGTGGCCTAGAATAATGATGTTTAGCTTGTAGCTTGCTGTGGTAAAAGGCTGTCGAGATAAAACACCTTGACCATTGTGAAATATTATAGGAGTCTAATTTATAAAATATCATACAACTTCCCAAGAACTACAATGGCTGAAGGAATACTATAATGTTATTCAGCACTAACTTCTAGTGATAAAGAGCTTTTCAAATTCTAGGATGTTCAAGTAAATATGTAATTCAATACGATAGCTATTGCTTCTATATACATATACATATAGCTAGCGATATTAGCCTTTCAGCTTAAGATAGTTTTTGCTAACAACATTAAGAAACAAGTGAGATATACAGGCATCATGGATGTCTCATTATATACTTTCACTACATGGTTTAATTCCTGAACTGCGACAGTTTTGCCATGAATAAAGGAATTTGGCTGGTATTAAAACGTTGTCCGACTACCAAGGTTTGTGACGTGAATAAATTATAAAATATACAAACAACATTATTTTTTGCCAATATGGCTAACAGTAATGCTAAATATTGCATTTTATGTGATGATTTTAAAGTCCAACTGATTTACATTTAGGTTTCCCACCACTTATATAAACTTACATGTGGACACTTTAAACTATTGGTTATCTCGGTCTATTGACCACTTAATAATGTTAAGTACGATCACTTGAGACCAATTTTCACTTAATTGTGTTGATCAATTAAATGAACACTACTACTGTTATGTATAGGAGGCTGAGGAATCCACATTGATGGTAAGTATAATATAGCACACAAGATGACAGTTGCAAAGTATTCCTGTCTATTCTATACAGGTGTTTCTTGCTTTCAAATGTACATTACCCATAGCTACCTTATAGAATATGAAATTAATCAGTTTAGCATTGCCTACCCTGATTTGCTGATTTTGTAAATCACTGCTTGCCATAAGGACAATTTTACATGATGGTGTATTTGGTCAACATACATGTGAGCTTATACCTTGGTATGGAATCCATTCATCTCTTAATCTGTATGTCAAATAATCTGTAAAGTCTTCTTCTCAAGAAGTCCTAAAGACTTTTTAAAATGATTTTGGTAGGAAGTTAGAAAGAGAAAGGGATTCAGTTTCTTGTGTAGAGGAAGGCGATGACCATCCCTAGTGCCAGAGGGATAGCAACCTGAAGGGAAAATTGTGAATGAATCTCTTTTGAAGATGTATGGCAGTGTGACTTATTTAAAGATAACTTTATAAAATATTCCTGGAGAAAAGTGGTAATTTTGTTGTTGAAATGAATGGGGTTCAGAGGCATGATAAGGAATATAGTGATAATTCATTAAAATGTGAACACAGTTATTAAACATCAGTACCAACTGAACTTTAACATAAGTACCAACTGAACTTAAACATCAGTACCAACTGAACTTAAACATCAGTACCAACTGAACCTTAACATCAGTACCAACTGAACTTAAACATCAGTACCAACTGAACTTAAACATCAGTACCAACTGAACTTTAACATCAGTACCAACTGAACTTTAACATCAGTACCAACTGAACTTTAACATCAGTACCAACTGAACTTTAACATCAGTACCAACTGAACTTTAACATCAGTACCAACTGAACTTTAACATCAGTACCAACTGAACTTTAACATCAGTACCAACTGAACTTTAACATCAGTACCAACTGAACTTTAACATCAGTACCAACTGAACTTTAACATCAGTACCAACTGAACTTTAACATCAGTACCAACTGAACTTTAACATCAGTACCAACTGAACTTTAACATCAGTACCAACTGAACTTTAACATCAGTACCAACTGAACTTTAACATCAGTACCAACTGAACTTTAACATCAGTACCAACTGAACTTTAACATCAGTACCAACTGAACTTTAACATCAGTACCAACTGAACTTTAACATCAGTACCAACTGAACTTTAACATCAGTACCAACTGAACTTTAACATCAGTACCAACTGAACTTTAACATCAGTACCAACTGAACTTTAACATCAGTACCAACTGAACTTTAACATCAGTACCAACTGAACTTTAACATCAGTACCAACTGAACTTTAACATCAGTACCAACTGAACTTTAACATCAGTACCAACTGAACTTTAACATCAGTACCAACTGAACTTTAACATCAGTACCAACTGAACTTTAACATCAGTACCAACTGAACTTTAACATCAGTACCAACTGAACTTTAACATCAGTACCAACTGAACTTTAACATCAGTACCAACTGAACTTTAACATCAGTACCAACTGAACTTTAACATCAGTACCAACTGAACTTTAACATCAGTACCAACTGAACTTTAACATCAGTACCAACTGAACTTTAACATCAGTACCAACTGAACTTTAACATCAGTACCAACTGAACTTTAACATCAGTACCAACTGAACTTTAACATCAGTACCAACTGAACTTTAACATCAGTACCAACTGAACTTTAACATCAGTACCAACTGAACTTTAACATCAGTACCAACTGAACTTTAACATCAGTACCAACTGAACTTTAACATCAGTACCAACTGAACTTTAACATCAGTACCAACTGAACTTTAACATCAGTACCAACTGAACTTTAACATCAGTACCAACTGAACTTTAACATCAGTACCAACTGAACTTTAACATCAGTACCAACTGAACTTTAACATCAGTACCAACTGAACTTTAACATCAGTACCAACTGAACTTTAACATCAGTACCAACTGAACTTTAACATCAGTACCAACTGAACTTTAACATCAGTACCAACTGAACTTTAACATCAGTACCAACTGAACTTTAACATCAGTACCAACTGAACTTTAACATCAGTACCAACTGAACTTTAACATCAGTACCAACTGAACTTTAACATCAGTACCAACTGAACTTTAACATCAGTACCAACTGAACTTTAACATCAGTACCAACTGAACTTTAACATCAGTACCAACTGAACTTTAACATCAGTACCAACTGAACTTTAACATCAGTACCAACTGAACTTTAACATCAGTACCAACTGAACTTTAACATCAGTACCAACTGAACTTTAACATCAGTACCAACTGAACTTTAACATCAGTACCAACTGAACTTTAACATCAGTACCAACTGAACTTTAACATCAGTACCAACTGAACTTTAACATCAGTACCAACTGAACTTTAACATCAGTACCAACTGAACTTTAACATCAGTACCAACTGAACTTTAACATCAGTACCAACTGAACTTTAACATCAGTACCAACTGAACTTTAACATCAGTACCAACTGAACTTTAACATCAGTACCAACTGAACTTTAACATCAGTACCAACTGAACTTTAACATCAGTACCAACTGAACTTTAACATCAGTACCAACTGAACTTTAACATCAGTACCAACTGAACTTTAACATCAGTACCAACTGAACTTTAACATCAGTACCAACTGAACCTTAACATCAGTACCAACTGAACTTTAACATCAGTACCAACTGAACTTTAACATCAGTACCAACTGAACTTTAACATCAGTACCAACTGAACTTTAACATCAGTACCAACTGAACTTTAACATCAGTACCAACTGAACTTTAACATCAGTACCAACTGAACTTTAACATCAGTACCAACTGAACTTTAACATCAGTACCAACTGAACCTTAACATCAGTACCAACTGAACCTTAACATCAGTACCAACTGAACCTTAACATCAGTATAAACTGAACCTTAACATCAGTACCAACTGAACTTTTTGGCTCACTTGCATCTTCTATTGTATTTCTTCACATGTTCGGGCGAAGCCGTTAGACGTACAATAAAGAAACCAACCTATCCTGAGCTTGTTGCGATTGAATATTGCCTTTAGTTTCCCGTTCCTCAATCGCCCTGCATACCCCTGGGTATCCAAGCAAGGGATAATTGAACCTACAGAACCTAGATCAGAAGTACGGCGTTGGCTCTACACCCGATGATTTCTATTGTATTTTATATAGCAATCCTAATAAAATAGCTTAAGATGAAAAGATCATTCATTTTGTTAATCTTTCTCAAAATAGTGATGATAAATTAGTTTACTTTCTATAGTTGTTCAAGGAAAGAATTTGAATCAATTATACTATTTCTGACATTGAATTGAATGCCACCAATATATATAGTTGTTCATTTAAGGTCAACGTCATTTGGTTGGAGTTCTTCTAAAACAAAAAAACAAAACTTTTGCATGAAAACAGGGCCAGGGCATATCATGTTTTAAAACCATACTTTGCTGATCTACAAATACATGTCTAATGCATTTTGATGATGTTTACTCGAAATATATGTGTACTTTTTCAAATATATATTTACATACAGTAACAGCTGGTAATCTATATATAGTGTTTGTCAGATGAATGATTTCGTGTTTTAGTAATTATCACATTTCTTGCAAGCAATAAAAGTTCAGCTTACATTATTACTAAAATATACTTATCAGCAGCAATGATCTAGCAAAATAACTTTATTTAAAGCATAATCTAATGATGAGTCAAGCTTACCTTTCAGAAACTGAGCGTAAACATTTAAATTTGTGTTCAATATTGTACATGTACCAGTATAAAATGTAGCGACAAAAACATGTTTCAAACAGACTTCTTATTGGTATGTATACCAGCAGAACATAAAATATTATGAATCATCAAATTTGTGCTTGATATGGTGTAGGCGTTCAGTATGTATACATGTTTAGACACATACCTATATGTCCCTCTAACATAATGTAAAGGTACACAGGACATCTATCTGTCTTAGTTGGAGGTAATATTGACCAAAGTCCTTTTACTCTTGGTTCACACAATTATTGCTGTAGAAGGCAGGTTTAGCTGTTGATAGTTTCCATAGACAGGCCTCACTTAGTCCTGGACAGAACAAAGACTTAAATGGGGGATTGATGGAAAACTGGTGTTGAAAGGTTTAATTAAGCAATGAATTTATATATCCTTCCCTATGTAGATCTGGGGAAACTACTGTATATGGATTACTCAAAAGGTCCAGACTTTCAGCCACTTAAAGTACTTGTGTAAGATTTTGCCACACAATCAGCATAGAAACATACATACATGAAGTTAACCCACAGGAGTTATAATTATATAATGAATCTGTTTGACCACTGTCTTCAAATTGTACACGCCTCAATATTCTGTACCATTGCACAGCGACATTTTCAATGATCTGTGGGGACCTATCCAATTGGAGAAGATGCTAATAGTATTGGCCTCGGTGACAATAATTTGACCCTGCTGTCAACAATGGCTTATCCTTTATTACCGCAACCTATTGACAGATGTCGGCAGCATGTTTTACTACACATTGTATTTCCCTTGTGGCAATCTGATGATGTTTCTGTGATCTTCTGTCAATAAAGCTGGACTCGAGAAAGACCCCGATGGTAGCCATAATCACGAGGCACCATTTTATCCCAAAACAGGGCTAAAGTCTCCAAGAGAGGTCTTACAGGCTAGGGTTTCCGTTTCAGTGTCATGATTGATCAGCCAATATCTACTTAGCAAAGATACAGAGGCTGGCAGATCTTCTGTCGAATCTATGGGGACGTTTTCTGTCATATCACATATATAAAATCTGTGGCATATTCTCTATCCATGCTATATACAGGGATTATCTTCTTTCATATCACATTGCATGCTGACAGCCCACAACGCATCACAGACCTGCAGCATAGTCATGATATACCAAGGAACATATAAAAAACACACCAGTA